CTATTTTCAGAACTTTGATATGCTTCAGGGTAGGGGACTAAATGATCTTTCACATATGTACTGCTATGTTTAACAATTACCTGCTTAGGCTCCCACCCTATGACAGTTCCTGGACCAAGCCATCTATCATGTATATTTCTTTTATAAAGAACAGTATCACCATTTTTGTATGACTGCACTATATTTGTTTTAACCTGGTGATGAAGTGTGTGTCTTAGTTTTTTTGAAGACTCACATGTCATGAAAGGATTCCTGGCAGCATACATTGCATTGAGGTTGTCTGCAACAACTTCACTGGTAGAAATACCTTCTAATGCTGTGAGTTTGTCATTTAAAAAAGAAGGCAAGTTGGGATTCCTGCCAAAATCAAGTTGTTTAGGACTACAACCATGAGCACTGTGAAGTGTATTTTTGGCACTTATGGCCTGTGCAAGTGCTACATCAAAACTAAAACTTGTGTCTTCAATGGTTTTCTTCACAATTTCTCCTAGTATTCCATTGTATCTTTCATTGAAACCATTGCTCCATGGACTTTCAGCAGCAGTAGTATGTACTACAATATTCAAGTTCTCTGATACATCCCTAAATGATTGGTTATTGAACTCTCTGCCATTGTCAGTGAGGATAGATGCTGGAGTGCCAAAATATGCTATCCTGTGTATGAATATAGCATTAAGAATGTCAGAACTTTCCTTACTAGGAATCCTGACTCCAACACTGTATCTTGTATCAATTAGATGTAATATTTGTTTTCCATTAATTTCTTTTATGTCCATGGTAATGCTTTCATTAAAATATGATCCTAATGAGAACCCAACAATGGGCCTGGGTTCAATCTTTTTGTATTTAATGCATATTTCAGATGAATTTGGAAGTTCTTGTAAAGTTTGAATGAATTCAGGGTCTTTTATTCCAGCATTCTTAAATAGATCACACAACATTTTACTACTTGGATGGCTGATTTGTCTATAGAATTTTGTTGCAATTCTAATTTTTTCTGATCTTTTTGTGTTAGTAATTTCTTTAATGAAAAGTATTTGATTAATGATCTTACCTTGATCCAGTGGAGGTCTGAAATAGGGATGTGATGTGTGACCAGACAAGGTACACCACAGTGGAACTTTTTTCCAAGCATTTTGACAGTCATTTTCAACATTAAGACATATCTTGGTTATTTTTATGACATCTTTACTTAATAAAAGTGGAATTTTCAAGTCCACAACATCAGTTATGATTTTGACATCAATGCTGGCAATGACATACAGTAGAGCAGCCGTGAACAGTGATTTTAGTTTCTTTCCATCGCTGAACTTGTTAGTTCTCATACCATGTAGTTGCACAAACAATAATCTAATCACCACTGTCTAGAACTGCTGAACCAAGTGTCTCACCCAAAAATATTTGACCTTTATCTTCCCACTTTTGCTGACTCATCAGCATGATGTTGGCTACAGATATGTGGTTGTCCTTTTGACTCCTATCTTGCAGCATTCAGAAAATTGTAACACCAGTAGAATTTGCAGCTACATGTGAAGCATTTGGTAGTATTGCCTTCATGTTCAAATGAGCCTGAATTTTTGTCAGAGGATACCTGTATTTTGTTCTTACATCCTATTCTGCTTCTGTTACCTTGGCAACTGGAAAACTGAGAAGGATGCCAGTTTGAAAAGTGACCGTAATATACTTCATTAGTATCTTCCCAGCCATTTTCATTGTAGGCACAATCCATATCTCTCATTATCACAATTGGTTGACGAAACATCAGAAAGGTGTCTGTGCATAATTTTTTAAAGTTGTTTGGACAGTGTTAATTCACCAATGGTTGCTTTTACTAGTCACTCATTCTCAGGTGTTAGATTCACACTTTTTAATGCTCTGTAGGCAAATACCAGCTCTAGTAATTGTATTTTGTGGTCCTTTAACCTTGCGACATAACAGTTGAAGTTAATAAGGTAGTCATCTATTGGCATGTTATTCTGTTGCCGATATTGTTTGAATGACTTGTATGTCATAAAAGCCAGCTGGTTAGCATCCTCTAAAAGAGTATATCCAACTTTTCATATTTTTTCATTCCATCATCGGTATGTAATGTGGTAATGTCCAGTTCCAATATGGCCTCTCTGGCTTTTCTTTCCAGGGATAAAAATAATATGGGTGTATAGCGAGGTTTGTCAATGCAAGTAGGAAGTTCCCAAACTGCATTTCTTTTTTCCAAGTGTTGTATTAATCTGTGTTTAAAATAAGTGGAGGAATAAATTTGGAAGCCATTTTGTTGATCAATGTGCTCTGCTACCAATGTAAGTTCAAATTAAAGGAAATCAGACATGTAATGAAAAGAGAATGTTTTATTTCAACTCCTTCATTCTCCATGTGTGTGTCTTATCTAAAATGGCCTCTCAGCTTCTTCTTGGTTAAGCCGCTCCTTTCCAGTCGAAGAATTGCCAAGGGAGCAACTCGTGAAGATTAACAGTAGTGATATTGGTTGATCCCTCTCTTGATGATGTCCCAAGAGAGCAGGACTACTACATATTGTGGTGACATAATAGTGAAAAATCTTAGCCAGACATTTTTGGTTCACTCATGGAAAAGAGGCTACATCACCTTCTCTATAGCACACTGACATAGACACTGGGAGAGAAACGTGTTGGCACAACAGGGACCTCATTGCTTCCAAACTCCAAAAACATTACAGATAATGAGAACTTGGTGGGTATCACTGTTGATCTATTCATGGGATATATACAGAGCCATTTGTCATTCCTCATAGTCATTTGACCATTTTAAAAAAGGTGCCTATTCTTGAGTCAATGTGGTGGAGCAGGATATACCTTTTCATTTCTTGTTTTTGTTTGGAAGCTGCCATGTTAATGTTCTTGATACATTTGAACTAGAAATAAGAATGTTAAAATTTGTCACATGCCACATAATATTATGTTAGGTTTTCTTCCATTTCTGTCCTGATAAAGACATGTTCTCAAATGAATAGGTGCCTCCCTCATATTTCTCTCTCTGTGCACACACACACACACACACACACACACACACATATATTATCCCTCATTGGTAGAACTACTTGGAGTTTCATGCACAATGAAATCTTTAGGTGCTGGGTAGAAACTCTCTCTCTCTCTCATATATATATATATATATATATATATATATATATATATATAGTTGACATTGTTTGCTGTAATGCCAGTTTTATATACTCACCAGGATGAACCTAAGTTGTAAAATCTTAAGTAGTCAGTATATTGATTAAATTCACCATGGTTGGTACAGCAATGCCTGATAGGTAGCAGTTTTGAGCTGGAAGATTGGGTACTGTTGTATGCATGAAACTTAAAGTAGTGCCTGGCCAGTAGATATACCATTTTTAGGAATATTAATATATTTCTTCTCTAATTAGATATTGGGCACATTTTTTCTTGTCAATGTCTATTTTCCTCTCAAATAATGTACTTATAAAAGTAAATAAAAAAAAATATATATATATATATATATATATATATATATATATATATATATATATATATAATCTGTCTATATTTCTGTGATAAGGTATTATGTACACTATTTACATTATTCGTACTATTGTCCTCATCTTTGTTGCCATATTTATTATGAGTTCTACATGCCATGTCTAATGGATGTCAGTTATCAGTTTCTCTTGTTAATTCCCCTCTCTAAGTTTTCCTTTATCCACTGTGCCATGTGTCCCCAAGGCATTAGTTAGATCCAGTGACAGGACCCAAAGAGTGTGAGTTCAATACCTGGTTAAGGTGGTGGAGAACTTAGAGAGGGGAGTTAACAGGAGAAACTGATAACTGACATCCATTAGGTAGGGCACGTGGAACTAGAACAGTCTACCCCAGTGAGCAAAATAAAGGGTTCAGTTCAACATTCCAATCACATGAAGAAGGTCGGGGCATACAACAGCCGATACATTGTAATAAATATGGCGACAAAGATGAGGACAATAGTCCAAATAATGTAAATAGTGTGTGTGTATATATATATATATATATATATATATATATATATATATATAATAAATTAATTGATTTAAAAGTTTTTTTTTTCGCTACACAGTTCTAACCATGTTTCAAAAATGGAACCTGAAAGCTCCGAATTTAATTTTGTAATTTTTATTTATATATACATATATGCTTTTTTTTGCATTTTTTCCCATGTTGCAATAAGTTACAGCTTAGTATGGTAGTAGAGTATTCTTTCATTTGCATTCTGGTCACCTAAATATTGCAAAAAGCATGAAATTTAAGTAGCAACTTGAGCTGTGATTCATTAAGGACTGATGCAGTGAAGCATTTTTTACTCAGTTTGTGTAGCTTAGGCATTGTTATTTACTGCTTAGGTAGATGTTTGCTTTTTGGTCTTTTCTTCTTAGTTTCATTTTTTGTTTTTCTCTTGTAAGGTTTTTCTTGGTTTTTTCTTTTTTTTTTTGTTATTAGTATCCCCCCACCTCACCCCTCTTTTTTTGAGATCTTTTGGCAGGTAGTCTGTTGGTCACACCAACATTTAGGATTTATATATAATATATATATCTGTTAATGTGCAACATCTGCTGGTATTTTTCATTTAGTTATTGCTTAATTCATCACATTGTTTTACATAAATCAATTTAATGCAATCACTCTATGCATCTAAAAGCTTAATGGACACTGATAATTTCTCTAATTTTTTAGTTCTGATCACATTAATGAAGAAACACAGAAATCTCTTCTCAATTAACTTAACCCATTAATCACAAGAGGATCAGATCATTTTCTAAATGCTATGATTTTAGTGGGTGAGGAGGGATTAATTTTTTTCTTTTAATCTTTCTTATTTAAATGTTTTTAAATAGCAGGAATAAAAAATAAACCTTGTTAAAGAAAATGGTTGAAAGGGAAAGTGAAAAGTACAAAAATATTTCCTTAGAAAAATGCACTTTTATTTGGTAGATTTCAAGATATGGTTAAAATGCAAACTTACAACCATATCACAAGTTCTCATACAATCACCAAAGTTAAGCAATGTTTTGCCTGGTCAGTACTAGGATGGGTGTCTATTGGGGAGTAATGGGTGCTGTAAGCTACATAACAGACCTAGCAATCTGTTAATGGATATAATCCTGATACTTATACTAACAGAAAACCTCAATATTTGGAAGTATTTCTAGACTGACAAGTTGCATGACTTACATGGAGGTGGGTGAGAGTTGGGTGAATAAGTGGTAAAGTGCATAACTCATCATCACACTCTTTACACATATATAATGTATTCTTTCATTTTTCTTTACATGCACCAAAATAGCACTGAAGCAAAAAAATCTTCTTACTTTGCATCCTTTTAGAAGAATACAGTTTGAGGATGGAAATTAGACGATGATTACTGACCAGTGAAACTTGTTCTACAGTGAGCCTAAAACTGTTAAAACTGACAGATGACTCTCATTTCTAGATAAATTTGGTCATATCTTCAGCAGTGTAAATGAGAATGTGTACTTTCCAATTATCTTATAAAGAAGGTCGACTGAAATAGAATTTCTAGATTGTATAAAAGAAGAGAAGAGATTTGCATCATGAATTTGAGATAAAGAATTATGCAACAATCTTGCCAACTCAAAGACAGAACTATTTGTGCAAATCAATGGTCCACCAGGCAATCAAGTAGCAATGACATTTTTTATAAATTAATCATGCAATCCCAAAATAAAGTCAGTTGCAAATCTGAGTATACGAATATTGCAGAAATTAAAGAAACAGTAAAGGTGGCCCATTTCTTTCTTTTACACTAGCAGAAAGCTTATTAATAGTTAAAAAGACTATTTCATAATTTTCTTTATCCTAGCATGACATACAGTGTGCAATCATATATCATCTCTGAATTCAGTCTTTGGGCTTGTGCTAAAGCCACATGAGTGACCCTCTTTTTCATCTGCCAGTCATCTAGTAATGTTTGGCCTCCTCTTTCTCTCCATGCTGATACTTTGTCATGTGAAGGAGTGTTTGCATGTCTTAAGGACCCTGGGAGCTATACTGTTAGAGTGTAAGCTTCTGACAGGTTATAAGGGAGAGGCCAGACAAGAAACAATACTTGGTCCTTCAGGTTGGAGGTTAGATATCAGGTTAACAAATCCATATCTGAAAACACTTATGTTACTTGAAATTGCAAAAGCACTACCTTCAAGAATTAGAGGCATGGATCAAATTGTTGTATCCATTCTTCACCTCTGCTCTGTTTTTGTCTTCAGCCAGTTCACAAAATGCTTTGAAGAATGCTTGGCCACAGGGATTCCCTCCTTTATTACACCAAAGATAGTAGTCAAGTGGATTGGACAATTTTGAGCAATAACCTATATGTATATGATAGGCATCCCATATTAAAAATTACCTTATGAATTACTCACCCCCATGAGCAGAGGGTGAGTAAATACTGAATCAGAAGCCCATTGAGAGCCTGATCAAAATTACTGGCTACTCCAGAAAGAAACCCATAATGGAAAGGTAGGAACTTGAACAGGAGTCTTCTATGACCTAGAAGTACAATTTATCTTGAAGCATGACATGTCTGTATTATGTTATCATGAGTGATTTTATTCTGATTTTCTTTTAATTTTTGATGGGTTTATATGAGTTTTCCATTCATCATTATCAACTATTCAGTCAGGTAGCTAATGTACTGTATATACTCATATATAAGCCAACTTCATGTATAGTGTGATCCCTGAAGTTTTTGGCATGAATTTTAACCCCTCCAGAAAGAATTTATCTGTGTATAATGCAACTGGTCACTGAAAATGCATGATTTTTAACCTCTTCAAAAAAATTACCTGTTTAGTGTGACCCACTATTTTTTGCATAAAAAAACTGATCATAAAACCTTGCACTATTCCCAAGTATATAAAGTAAATTTGATACACTCTATATTGCATATTGCCATTTGACAATAAGATATTATATCATTGTAATAGGGTTATTATCCCAAACTATATTATCTGAAGATCATCAGAAACTTTTATTAAAAAAGAAAAAAAAAATGTTGGCACTGAAAATCTTAATAGACTTAATTTTTTTCTTTTTATTGTCATTTGTAGAAAACAAATATTTGCATACACTGGACAGCAAAATGTTGCTTGATGACATTACATTTGCTTTGTTCTGACATAGAATCACTGAGCCATCTCGGTTATTATTGATAGTTGTTGTTTGTTACATTTGTAGCTATTGATTTATTTTCTTTCTTTCTGAATCACTAAGCTATATTAATCAATGGAATACTTTACATAAAATGTTATACAAACAGTAAAGTGATAGCTTCATGATTAAACCACTGGAATGAAGGATACAAAGTAAAAAAACTTAGTTATCAGTCTCTTGTGAAATCTTCAATATTTGAAAACTATCAGGTCATCCCATAAGTTCTGTCCGAATTTTAACTTTTTGTTAAAATGAACACAATTTAAAGAGTATTTTATAATGTCTAATGAAGCTGAACATTATTTTTATGTTTAGATGCATTTAAACTGATCAAATTTTATTTCAGAGAACAATAAAATTAAATTTTGTTTGATTAAAACCCAGCTAACATGGAAGTACCCAAAAATCATTTGAGGCACATAATGCTTTATGAGTTCAAGAACGGAAACTCAGCAGCTGAAGCGGCTAGTAACATTCACTCAGTTTATGGAGAGGAATGTGTGAATGAAAGAACTTGCAGAAGATGGTTTGCAAAATTCAGAGGTGAAGATTTCACCCTTGAAGATGAAGATCGAACCGGACGTCCAGTTGAGTTTGATGAAAAGCTTCTTGAAGCAGCCCTTGAAGAAAATCCTGCTTTATCAGTTGAGGAATTGGCAGTGGTTCTCAGTTCAAACCATACAACTGTTCATCGTCATCTTCAACAACTTGGAAAAGTTCCTAAACTTGGAAAATGGGTGCCTCATGAATTGTCTGAAAACAACCTCAAATCCATGAGTTGACATCTGCCTTTCTCTCCATTCTCACCAACTTGTTTCACCTTTTTTGGATAGACTTGTGACTGGCGACGAAAAATGGATCTTTTATTGAAATGTTAAGCGTTGTAGACAGTGGCTTGGTAAAGGGGAAGAACCACAGCTGAGAAGGGAACTTCATGGGCAAAAGGTTCTTCTTTCAATCTGATGGGATCGCCAAGGAATAATACACTTTAAATTCTTACCACCTAATGCAACAATTAATCCTCAAATATACTGTCAGCAGTTAGAGCGTTTGAATCAAGCTTTGAGAAAAAAAAAGACCTGCTCTAGTGAATCGAAAAGAGGTGATGTTTCATCAGGACAATGCGTAACCTGACACAGCAAGAATCATGTTACAAAAGATCAAAGAACTTGATTGGGAGAAAATTCCTCATCCACCTTATTCTTCTGATCTTGCTCCTTCAGACTACTATTTGTTTCATAGCTTACAGAATCATTTGGAAGAAACAGCTTTTGTAACACAGGAAGAGGTTAAAACTGACATTTGTGAATTCTTCGAATCAAAGCCAAAAGAATTTTACAGTAATTGAGTTAGTAAGCTTGTTAATAGATAGAAGGAAGTCATAGATAATCAGGGAAAATACATTGTTGATTGAATCTGTAATTAAATGTAACATTTGGTCACTTGTTTTCTTTATTCAAAATTTGGGCAGAACTTATGGGATGACCTGATATATGTAGGAATGTTTAGATGGAAGTAACTGCATATTGATTAAAGTATGGATTTAACCATATTGATTAAAGTAGTCAGCTGCTACTGATCATCTGGTCTAGTTTTGTTCAAGATACTTTTAGTTCTAATAGTTAACAAATTTCCATTCTGTGGTCCATGATAGGGGTTAATCTTTTAATAGTTAATTTTTCTTGTCATTTTGTCCTTTTTGTTAATTCATCTTGTGATGACACTTCTGCTTGTTCCACTTAACCAGCGTAGCATGGATAATGGAATGAAAACAATCTACCTACATGAACTGAATAAAGGGTTGTGTTTGAAATTAGAAGAATGTTATCGAATATAGTATGCACTTGAAGAACACTGGATAGTACAACAGCTAAAATGTTGTGACTATAACAACAGAAATTAGTACAAAAGATTATATAAATTAATGCATAATAATAATGATTTCTTATCTCAGAATTTCAAACAGAAATTATCAAAGACTTATAAGAATGGAAAACAGTTTTCAATAAACAAATGCTGCAATAAATATTAGAGTAGAAACAATAGAAAAGTTAATAAAATCAATAGTTGAAAGACTGATGAAGGTTATAGAATGTCAAAGACACTATATTAACATGTAAGATAATAAAATAATAATTTGTTCAGGTATATGGAATATTGTGTTAATTTTTTAAATATTTAAAAAATTCCATATCTCTCTAGGATGTGGTTGATCTCTTCAGATTCTATTTCTTTATTTTCTAGGAATTATCATACATTCTTGGAAAAGATATTGGAGTGATTTAACATTGCATTCTCCACAGTTCTGAATTCAGAGTTTTACTCCTCTTAGACTGGTTGTTATCTAAGACTATAGAACCCAGTCTACCCTGTTAACTTGTAGCTGGGAGCAATGTATTCACATCTTTCCTAAGGGAATTTGTACAAAAGTAAATGCAACAGGCTAGCAGGGAATTTGAACTCTTTCTGCATCAGTACACTACTCCATTCTTGCATATATCTCTTTTAATTATGGATCACAAGTTTCTGTTGGTTTTATATCTGGAGTGGCTGAAGGTCATTCTATTATTTTTAGTTTTTTAGTGATTGACTACTTCAGTAATTAAATGTGTAAGGTTTCTTATGAGAACATTTAATAGTACATGAATTAATGGTGGTGAAAAAGAGTACATGCACAAAATAACAGACCAATTAATTTGCAATGCAAAATAAAACAAAATTAACGAAAGGAAAGTTTAAAACAAGAGTTTCTTTTATTAGAAATAAATTGTATACACAATGAAATGTTCATGAAGATGCTGTAGTGGGACTTACTTTGTTGGTATGTTTTAGTATAAAGCATTCACAGCCCTTTTAGTTTCAGCATGGAAGGTTCATTTCGCCAGTTCCAATG